GGAGGAGGCCCCACATGCAAATCTGCTCCTGCTCTGGATCCCTGAAGGAGGGGCCTCAGGTGAGGCCTGATTGAGCCTGTGGCCTCCTGGGGCAGAGGGGGCAGGGCCTATTTCTGGTAGGGAGGGTCATCATGGCCCTGAGCTCATTTCCTACTCTGAGATTCTGGGATTCTGGGAGTCAGGCTCATTCCTCCCCAGGCTCTGTGTCTGATGCTCCAGGACCCTGTCAATGTCACTGAACTGCTTTCTCCTCCTGGACCTTCCCTGTGCACTGCGGCCTTCTCCCCATGGGCCATCCCTCCACCATGCTGCCCCCTCCTCCCTTGGTGAGTTACCCCATGCCTTGCTTGGGGACAGCCAGGCTTCATTCCCCTCCAGCTGTGCCTGTGACTCTGGAGGCTTCAGAGACACCCTGGGATGGTGACTTCTCTCCCCCATCACTGTGAGCCCCTTTAAGGGTATGTCTTCCCTTATTAGAATGTAAGCTGCATGGGGGCACAGCTTAGGTGGCACAATGGATAGAACGCTGGCCCTGGAGTCAGGAGGACCCAATTTCAAAACCCGCCTCACACACATAACACTTACTAGCTGGTGACTCTTGGCAAGTCACTTAACTGCAATTGCTTCACCAAGAAAATAAAAATATAAGCTCCAGGAGGGCAGGGATTCTCTTTGCATTGGTTTACATTGGAATCCCCAGCACTTAGCACAGGGCCTGGTACACAGGAGGGGAATAATAAATGCTTGTTGCCTTGCCCTCTCCCCAATCCAGAGCTTCCTCATGACCATACAAAGGAACAATCATAGCAAAAAGTGGGCCCAACTTCTGCCCCCAAATCCCCAAAGCTCCTGCTGCTCAGGCCTCCCAAGAGGCTGCAGAGGAAGGAAGCCAAGCACATCCTCACTGTGGGCCTCACTTCCTCTTTGGTGAAATGAGGGGGATTGGATCAGGGGATCTCTCAGCTCCCTTCCAGCTCTGGCCTTCAATGATCAAGCCCAAAGGGCCTGTTTTCATCTGGGATTCCAAGCAGATTCCACAGACGCTGGGGCACACAGGGAATCAAAGTTAGAAGCGAGTTTCAACAACATGTATTAAATTTTTTTATTTACTTTTCAAAATTTCTTTAATATTTAAGAAAATAAGAGATTGGCTGCTGCGGTTTTCTTCTCATTCAGGGTATCCTTTCAGACTGTCTCATCCCCTAGATTCTGGGCATGATGCTTCAGGCCAGATGGGGAGAGGATGCTCTCTCTGGGCCCCAGAGCCCCACCAACAGAGTCAGGCGACCACCCAGACCCCAGACTTAGGACACATGCTAAGCCTCAGAGGGCCAGGTGAAGTCCTCCCAGCCTCAGCTCATTCTGGAGCTCAGCCTTCCTGAGATCATCCTCCCTGGGCTGGGCCTCACTTTTCTTTCCCTTCTGAAACAGGGAAGGATTGAGATGTCTGTTGATGGAGAAGGAACTCCCCAAGGAGGTCATCACAGATCTTGGACGCAAGTGTGGATTTTGGACTACTTTGGTATTTGTTTGAGAAGGAAAAAAGAGAGAAAAAAATGACCAGCTTTCCCTCCTCTGTGACTTCAGAGCTGATCCTCCCTTCCAGACTAACTATATGGAGAACACAAATCCATGTAACACAGACATCCTGAGTCAGGATTTAAATGTCCTCCCACAGTTCCTTGATTCAGTCAGAGTTAAAGCTCTGGCTTCATGTACATGTCACTAACTTAAAAGAATAAACAACATGAATTTACTCATCACCAAGCTTGTTGCCTCTTTAACTACCTTTCAGGTGGACACAAATAAATACTAAATGTTGGCTGTCCCTCTGGGGCTGAGGCCACACCCACCATCAGGCAGATCACAAAGATCTGAGTATGGAGGGAGATATGGGGAGGGGGAGGGTGGGAGGTCATTTCTAGGGGTTCTTGCTGCAGCCCCCTCTTCTGCCTGAGGCCTTTCCTCATCCCCTCAACCCACAGCTGAGAGGCCCCTCCTCCCCCAGCTCCCTGGCATTTCTCTGTGTTGTACTTCCCCATTCAGGGGCATCTGGGCTCCTCAACTACTCCAAACACTTGGGAGAGCCCTAAGGAACTCAGCAGTCCCATAGAGGGGGCCCAGCAATAGAAGGGAAGTGCCTTGAGAACAGAGACGGCTCCTTTTTGTTATTGTGCTCTCAGCATCTGGCACAGTGCCTGGCACAGGGTAAGTGCTGAACACTTGGTTATACTGTGATTGTTCTGTGCAATTTTTAGTATCTGAAGGTGTTGTTCAAACTCTGGGCCTTAAGAGAATTCTGAACTGCCCCACAAAAAGGAAGAACATTGGCAGGGGACTTTCCATCTGCCCCCAGCTCAGTAGGAGAGGCTGGGGAGTCAGCATCAGCTAAGCTTCCCCCTGGCCACAGAGCAGGAGACCAGGAGCTCAGGGCCAAGAGCCCCAGGGGGCATTTGCAGCCCAGCTCAGCCCCAATCTCATTGCAACGTCTCCCTCTAGTGGCCACAGGGCCAATGGCAGCCCCAGGGAAGGTCAGGAAGAAAGTCCCTATTTTTATTACCTTCCCCCTTTGGAATGGGAGCTCCTTGAAAAAAGGGATTGTCTTTCTTTTTACTTCAATTCGTATTCCCAGCTGTTAGCACAGTGGAATGAGCCTTGTGTGCATGATCGGCTGGCATCCTCTACTGCAGGCTTGGTCAGAGAACAAACAGAATGGGGTTCACCCTTAACCGGAGGTCTGATCAAAAGAACAAGCAGGATGAGATTGCATGGACAAAGTATGTGTCCATACATGGGACAAACAACCTCAAGGAAAGGCCGGTGGAAGAAGACTTTATATCCTTAGTGCCAGGACGTGTTTCCTTCTCCCTCCCTCCCTGGTGCAGGATGCCTGTGTCACCAAAATTATGGTCTCTGTGTGTGTTAACCAGGATGTGAGAAAGGAATTTCTTAATAGGACAGACTCAGACAACATGGATGTCACAGCAGACTGGTGTCCATGAATACCAAGATAAGAAAAACCCCATTATCCTAGACAGCATCAAGTTCACACGGCACCTGGTCCTTGGTGGAAGAAT